GACCTTTCTGTTTCAATATATGTTTTCCATTTAGCAACTCTGATTTATGTTATTCCTGTTACCATCATTATTATCGCTTATACAAAAATTATAATCTTTCAAAGAAATTATACCAGGCCTGGATTTTGGACATCGGAGCAGCTTCAAGATGATTTCATGAAAAGAAAGAAATTTAACAAAATGCTAATATTAATAACTTGTTGTTATGTAGGGATAGGAATCCCTCATTTATTTTCTACTATGATCTTAGCAGCAATGGGGATAAAACTTTCACATACTTCTGGCAATAACGCGTTTCTAGCAGTTATTATTCACGGTTCTGTCGCTTGTATGTTTTCAATGGGTGTTGTCAATCCGCTTGTCTATATGATATTTGATAAACAAATCAGGATCGCTATGTTCTCAAAATTGAAACGACTGTTCTGTTGTAACTGCTAAATGTCCATTTTCAATATTTCCTTCGTGTAATCCATTATAATTAATGTTTTGTGTGTATTTTGAATATTTTCTGATACTAGTCATAGATATAAAGAAGTAAGAAGTCATTTATCTTAAATTGCTTTAAAAATGTGTGCATCCAGGTTAATGTTTCCAGTAGTGTACTAAGATTGTTAAATAATTGTTTTATGCATACTATGACATAGTCACGATAATTTTAAAATCTTTTTTGACATTTCTGTTATTAGCGTAGATCGAACCCTGCTTCATATACTTACATAATAAGTATACTAGAAGTGAATGACGACCTAAAATATATTAAAGTAGCATGGTTATTTATCTTCATTTATTTGTGTGTAGAATTCTACTTACATCATAATATAACAATACGTTATGAGTAATGATGTCTCCATCCCAACATTATCTTCATCTGATACTTATAGATATACATATAGAAACAATCTGTTAAGCAGTTTGCTATCATTTTAATCCTTTTTCTGCCTTAAGAAAGTTAATAATTAAGTAATTCTTAACGCCGAGAATGATTCAATAATTTAATCAGTCCGCGTTCATTTTATTTCTAATCAAAAGTAATATTGTGATTTTATGCGTTGGAAATCAAATAAAAGACTATTGCAAATATTAAAAATGCTTTGATTTGGCACCTCATCTACTATCAACGAAATAATACGACAATAATGTCTCGTAAGTAAAAGTTTTCCATACAATGTAAAATTTTCCTTTACGATATCGATAAAATGACGATACAAATCAGATAATGAATAAGTAACAAAGGACCAAATATAAGGTTAATTTGGTCATGTTAAAGGATTAAAATCTTCATTATATTACTGTACTTCATTTTAGAACTATCGTAGAAGTTTGGTATAGTTTATTGAGCATATACAAATTTTACAATAGTAGATATAAGCAGTCTTCTATTCTCAGAAGTAGACCTACTGTTAGATTTGTACATGAATTTAATTTATTGATGATGGTAAATACTTATCCATCGAGATACGGCATTTGATTAATTTAAGTGTTAAGAAATTATCTAAGCGAGTGCATCGTAAATTATCAATCTTAAATTTTGATTATAATTTTAGCTACGAAGACATCGATTATTTGTTTTCGTCTGTATTATCATTAGTCTTTACGTTTACGTGAGAGATTTGAAGACTGTTTATGACTGAAGGCCAGCAGGATCTTAACCTCAGAGGGTTAACCTCGGCTAATTTAGTTATTCTCAAATAAATTTTGATTATAGCAATAAAGACGTTATAAATTACACTACTACTAAAATAAAAGAAGCTGGGAAGGAAACACCGCCTCTTCATCATATTTACTTATTAATAAAAACAAAACTTTATTTTCATAATTGAATCTAACAAAATTAATTTCAGTATTAGTTTGACATCTTATTTTATACACTATTTATACACTATTTAAGAGCTAACAATAGCTTATACTTTCATAAAAGTTGAAACGAACAAATAACATAGCGAAAGCAATTATTAATATGAATGAATTGTTCTTTCATTATTATGGTTTGAAAAATAGCAGGAAGTGAATATATTCTGATCGTGTTTGCTATGAATAAATCCCTATAGAAATATCAAAATGCGTTATACGGCTATGTTGTGTAACGGAAGTGGAAGTTGAGCTAGCAATTGTATTCTCTGTCATAGTATTTTTGAGATACTAACATAACTATCAAAGTTATCTCGTATAACGTGAATGACCTGGATTGTGAAGATAAATTAAAGTCGCCAAGCATGATTAGTTCTATTGTTGCATAGGACTATAAATCTTTCAAATCCTTGATAATTTAAAATACTGTATAGCCATAGGAAATTCTATGCTCCAGATAAACATTTAATCAGTTGTTAATAAGATTATAGTGATCGCAACATGAAAACTAGGTTATGGTCTAGGTATATGATACCTTCGTCACATACCTAGACCATAACAACTGTTCGCATACCTCGCCCGTTAGTTCAGTCATCATATAGATCGCCCTTGTCATCACGATCAGCATAGATGATGCCTTTGTCACATACCTATACTGCAATAACTATATCGTGATTATATAGATTAGAAAGCTTAGTCGTCGTAATTTTTCACAAAACTGTATAAAAGTAATGCCTTGCTGTATATCATTAGAATAAAATTTTGTATGCGTCTTTATATTGAAGAATTTTATACTTCTGCATCTACGACTTGACCTTTATTCGTACGGTCATGATTCGTCTTCCATTAGTCTGACGAGAAATTCTAGTAAAAAAATTTACAGAGATACTAATATTATTTATTTATACAAGTTACACTTAAACAATGTCAAGACTTAATTCACAGCTACCAATGTAAACGGAATATGTAAATAGGATTTCGCTGTTTTTATTCTTCAAGTTGTTTGAATAAGATATATTTCCTTTGTAAGCTACTTTTAGAGAGGCATAAGTGAATAAATGTACTACAACTAGTATAAAAATAGGTTGACTAACGCCAGCAGTAGTCTGACTTAATATTAATCGATTTTGACGGCTTATCACTTTGAATTACTTATAAATAAATATAACATCAGCCTGAATTTAGTCTTGTGGAACCTACATTTGATTATGCTATTAGTAGATTCAATTTCAATTTAAATCCAATCTCTGATAGGACTTCTACCCATCAAAATATCGTTGTCGCAATATAGCAAAATTGAAGGTGCAGTACTATTAAAAGTACTAAATCAACAATTCTTTATCCATAGCCTGACTTACTGTATCATTTTCACGATATTTCTAAAGGAATCGCTAACTATTATATCATATTTTTCAATAATAAATTGTAATTTCTTCAGCATTACGTGTGGAAAATAGGTAGCTTGATCCGATAAATTTCGATGCAATATTTTTAATAGCAAATCCTAGTTATTGCAGCGTTGCGTGAGGAAAATAAGTAGCTTGATCCAATAATTTTCGAATCTCCTCCAGTAGCTATATCTAATCTAGACTATCGCTTATGGCTAATCATTTTGTGTAAGTGATATTAAGCACTAACTGTGCAGGCGGGAGAAAAACACTAACCTCCTTTGATACGATATCTAAAAATACGATTCCTAGTCTATCGCTTATGGCTAATCATTACGTCAGATTGACATTCATTTGTAATTGCCACAAAGTTAACTTAGAACTACTACCCTAAACTAATTGATTACTTATTCCTACCTCCACTGCACCTGGAGGCCTACTGTGTGGTAGTCCTATACTACTTACGGTCACACAGGGATAAGACTGTTCTAAGAGTTTAGCATAGTTTTTATTAATAGAGTAGCCGTGTCACGTTCTGTAATAGTTACATAATTAGTATGTTACCTTCTTTCTATATATGGTTAAATATCACGATGTTATCACGTCAGGCGTATATAGATGTAGTTATGGTACTATATTAAGGTTATCTATATATGTATTCTCATGTTGCCATACTTGGCATGATAGTCTATTTGTAATGACTAAACTAGGGAAACCTTTCTGTTAGTGATGATCTTGTGATCTACGTCAGTAGATCAAAGGTCACAATAAAGAAAGTATATAAACTCTTCATTTTAACTATAAAGTTAGTTCTTCAACTTAATTACTGGGTCTCCTTGCTGAGTGCAGATCTAGTACTTGTTACAAAATTTGGAAGTTGTAACAAGCCGAAAAGCTATCGAATCACGAACTGAGAAGCTGAGCGTTCGCTCCTCTTTTTATACCATACCACCAAACTTGTGGTGTACACATAGTAATTTAGTAACACAACATTGACTGGTTCATATAGGGAAACAACCCTCAATAAACTATATAGTTTACTATAGATACAACTAGCAAACAACTTTAATTAGCAATAACTAATAAATAGCCAATTAAACGAAGGAGGCTCTGCACGCTTATTGCACGTTACTCGAACTTTGCAGTGGGTAATGAGGTCTACCAGTAGAAGCGCTATTAAAGTTATATAATTCGATTAACCTAAGTCTTTCGATAATTAATTCATGCAATAGAGTTACATCTATATGTATGCATACAACATGTGCACAGTGACATACTGTATAGTCTTAATTACAGCACCATTAAGGGAAAATATTCCCATCGTGTTCAAATATTTCGTTACTTTCGTGCCGCATATGACGGTTACGCGACTATAGGAATTAAAATGATTAAGTTAGAAGTGCAAAAACATAAATTATTTAAAAATGTCGTAGTTGGAAATAGTTAACTAACGTGACGATTAAAGATCTAAATTTATTGCATCATATGTGCGAAAAAGAATAAGCGATTATTTAAGGAGGTAAATGTTTAACTACTATAGTTAGCAATGTCACGGCTAGCTCTAACTCTAAGTATACTGCATTATAACTGGTTCTATGCGTATACGTGTACGAGCTCTCCGTTTATTTTCGAGAATTTTTCTAATATTTTCATTCTAGTTATTTTCTTTCCAATCTGAAAAATCGGTAAATAAAATAATGATATAAATGAGGTAGCCTAAACGTTCATTTCTAAGGTAATCGACCTCTGGTTTGCTATGTTGAATCAAGAGTTGTCTGCAGTTTCGAAGCTTGATAAAGAAATGTTCTCGATACTATCACAGTATACATGAGACCAGAAAAATCTGGAGGCATTTTGTAGGCAGCATCCCCATTCAAAGGCTTTTTTTCGATAAAATTGAAATTCTTTGTTCTGAATTTGGTCTTTATAAATTTCTTCTCCAGCCATTTCATTGGGATACTGTTTATGTGTCGCTGCACAAGCTAGAAATATATCAATAGGACCTGATGCGATGAGTTCCTTTTTCCAGTCATGAACTGACGGAAGATTGTTAAAATCTCTAGCTGTACTCCCTATTAGAACAATGGCTGGGGTTTCCTTTTTTAAGGAAATGAGGGGTACATTCTGATATCCAGTTAAGGTAGCATCAAAATAAAGAAAGATCTCGTTTTCTATCTGATAATTTCTATCTTGGCTCTTGAGCTGAGCGTGTAAAACTATAGGGATCTTGTATTTAATAGCTGCTTGAATGACTACTTTGCTGACCCAAAAGCATGGCAAGCACTTGAGATGGCGATGAATTATTACAAAATCTGCTGAGATTATTTGTTTTACAGTCTGATCCATTTCTAATTGATATGCCAAACTTTGAATTAGCTCTACTGAATGTACGGACAAACTTTGTCTTAAATGGCTTACAAGCTTATTAGTAAAATTAGATCCTATGTGACTAATTTCTCCAATTTTTTTTATGTCTGTATACTCGTTCAAAACTAGAGGATTTTCTTTACTTGGTGGCTTGGATATTTTCACTTTTGTAAGCAAGTAAGATTGGATTAGAAAATACTCGCTAAAGTTTAAATGAATTTCAATATCACTTTTGAATAAATCGGATATAGGTCTTTTATTAACTATCCGATCCAGATTTTCGATAAGGTTTAGGCAATGTATTCTGACTCGGCTTATCTCCGATAGAAGAGCTTGGCTATCTACTGGATATCTCAAGAAAATAAGGGCAATCTGAAGAGATCTAATTTGGCAAGCATTTTCTCCAACAAGTGGATCAAACCTGTTGATATCTTTCTTCGCTACGATTTCTAAAGCTTGTTCTGTAGCGATTATTAGTAGTAGATATTCGCGGAGACCATTTTCCAATTTTTTGGCTTTATTATTATTAGGATCATAAGGAAGTAAATGACTTAAGAGAAAATCTCTTTGATTATTGAAAGGAGACAGAAAATTTTTCTCTAATTTCATATCTGTAAAAATGGAATTAAATCGATTGGCTACTAGTGATGTTCGACTAGAGTTTTAACTAAAACAGGAAATTAACTTACTGTTGGATTTGCACGAGTTCGAACTTAGTACGGTATTTTCTGGCAATATATATCTTTAAATTTCTCCAGAAATTTTATGAGTCTAATGGATGACACATTGAACGAATGCTGAAATTAATCCTCAACCAGAAAGGATACAATTCGACGCCAATCTACCTTGTGAAGACTTTCAATACACCTAAGCGAATTACGCTAACCGAACTTTACACAATAAAGTTAATGACAATTTCTTTCTTATACCAATAAAATATCGTATTGCCGATAATTTCAAAGATTAGACTGTCTACAAATATCAAATTTCAAAAAAATCGAGAAAATATACGAGGGTGAAAGACTGTTGCTTGTTCAAATCAGGAACTTTTGAAAAAATTCGTAAATGCCTTTCAAGAAAGTAAACTGCATTGCATGCACACGCTTAATGCAAGCACAATAAATACGCCTTCCGAATATACGAAATCCTCTTATTAGCAAACATAGATGATAATGTCATTTCATTTAGGAGTAGGCGAGACAACAGTATCCAATAGTCGCAACTACTATACTACCCTGCCAAACTACGTCAATATAATGTTAGAGTAAAGCATCGCTAATTAGAAACCATTCAAAAATATCAGACCATATGTTAGGGTTAGGGTTAGGGTTAGAGTCATCGCTATATAAAGTAAGTAAGAAGATATAATACAAAAGAATTGAAAGGTTCAAAGCGGAAGAATTGTAATTACTGTTGAAATTCAAGCTTGTAGTGCTGTATAGTATCTATTGTTGTATAGCTGTACCTAATAATATTAGTCTAGAAGCTGTTATTTTGGAGAAATAATAACTTAATTGAATGCAACCAATACCAAAGTATAATGCGCGCGAATGGCTAAATGGAGTTGAGTGAGCCAATCTAAAAAAAATAGAAGGATATTACACATCATATACATATGTACTTAAAAGTGAAGAATTATATTATTACCAAAACCAGATGGATAGATTGGTGTACAAATTAACCCCCTGGATTCAGAATGATCGCTTACGCCAACTGTCAATTGTGTCGTATTATCGCATTTATAGCTATGATTGATTGGATTAAGAATGATAATTAAGTAAAATGCTGATTATTTTGTTTACTCACTCGTATTTGTCCTTTAGAATAATCTTTACTGCCACATATTAGCATTAGTATCGTCTTATCACAGACACAAAAAACTTAGATATTGTGATATTATAACAGAATAGTAATAAATCTCAAATAGGTATATAAAATATAGGAGCTCGAAAGAGCTCGCAGTTGAGACGTACGTATGTATCAAATTGTTTATTCCTACAATTACCTATGTATGATAACTTAACTGTAATAGCATACTTGTTATTTAAAAGATGCTGATAACGTAGTTAATATGTTTATAACGACAGATAGAGTATATAAGTGAGATAATGATCAATAAAAATTGTTGTGTGTGTGTGTGTTTGAGTTACGGTATACAGAAGTGGTCTTACGGACTAAACTAATATTGACTATAAGTACTAATTGGTTTCTTGTGTCGTAAGGCTAGTCATGGCACGTCTTTCCAAGCCAGGTATAAAATAGATAGCTTGACCAAAAGAATGCCTATTGTTGCCCATAACAGCGGCGACATTGATTGCTATATACATATCATATTAGTGGCCGCCAATTGCATCTTGACTGCTGATTGCCACAATTAAATTAAAATTATCGCAAAAGTATGCAGCAACTGTGATAATGAAAGACAAAATATCTATAGGTATATATTTGAACGGACTTATATGCATTTAAAATATATGTTAAGGAATATTTATCATAAACCGACGAAATTATCTCTCGTTATACGCATTAAGTAATTTGGTTTATTCGCCAAAAGTTAAAATCATTACGTAAATGCAAAATTTTTCTTATAGGCACAAAAGATAATATTGAATGTTAGTTATAATTAATTAAGGTCCATCAGCATAATGAATTAAATTAGCGGGCGAAATTAACATTATCAGCTTAACTATTTATAATGGCTTAAAATAATTACTTAATTATTTCGAAGAGGAAGGAATGCGACTACGTTTATATAGTAGATTAATAATCATTAATAATTTAGGATGCTACAATACATAGGGTAATAATCAAATGCAAAGAATTCTGGTAAGCTGTAAAGCAATGCAATCCATATTGAAATTTTAATTTCCGATTTTGACACCCCTACTGTACAGTGTACAGTACCTACCGTGCAGTACAATGTGATTATTTTCGATGTCTCCTCTTCGTTAAAAAATCAAAGCTGTATTCCGTTGAAATTTCTGTATAGTATTTATATATACCCATAGAATTATTAGGCTACAACCAAATATAGAATTTATCTAGTTTGGGCCTGATTTAGCCTGTACAATTATATGTTTAATAAAATAAATCGATATCATTCTAATTAATGCCGAGTATTGATATCAGTGGCTATTGAATAATCATTCGTCGATGTCTCAATTTTTTTAATTAAGATACTTTATTGTATTATAGTAAAGAGTGTTTACTGGATCTTAAATTCTAGACTAAACTTTCTTTTCGATATTGCTACCGTTACGCACGAAAGAATAAAGGATAACGTTCTATAACGGTTTACCAACAATATTGTAATCGTATTCATACGAAAGTTTGTGATCGATGATGTTGCAGAGAACTTGTTGTGTGGATGGTAATCTAGACCAAAATCCCAATAGTTTTAGTTTACAAGCTGAAATACTCGTTTTGGGGGATACGAGTCATGGGCGAATAACGTATTAATCCCTTCACTGCTGCATACCGCGCTCACGCTGCAAATTAATTCAAGCAGATTACTCTTAGTGCAGTATTGTATGATATTGTCTATCAAGTGCAAAGAATTCGTTATATAAAAATAAGATTGAATGTATAAAATAGATTATTGGCAATAGGGAAGGTAATTTATGCGGACGATGCCAAGCAAGAAATGTATTAAAAGGAAGTTCAATTGATTGGCGATGCTGTGATAATCTGATTCTAGTAAATCTTATTTAAATTCAAGATTAGCAAAATACACGAATTTTGTTCTGATTCTATCACATATTTGTGTTCAATAAAAGATTTTGCTTTATACTATAAATTAGGATACCATCCAAATTTAATTAAAACTGCTAAACTGCAGAATGAACCTCATACCTATAAGTCAGACTAATTATAATCATGGGCGCGTTTGCTCTCGATATTTATAGAGAAACATACTTACCGGTAAGTTGTAAAGTAGATTTTAAGCAAGATATAAGAATGAATAACATCATGATAAATGATCTTCCTCTTCTTAAAGATACGGTAAATCTTAAGAAAAGCTGTAATTATCGTCGACGAAGCTTCAGTAATGAATTTTAACATGTTTCGAGTGAAATTTTGTCACAAACTGCAATACCTTCTCATCTGGAAGTAAGCTAAATCTAAGACAATTCAATCGATAAAAAAAACTATTCCGGTTTAAGTTTTTCTTGAAGTAAATTCAATTTCGTAATGACAGACTTAATATAAATGCATTAAACTAGCAACGTACTCTCACTGAGTACGGCACTCCACTCCAATTTGGTGCTGGGATGCACTACTAGATGCTCTCGTTGGTATAATATTTAGTAGTCCACGGTGCTAGTAGCTATTCGGTGTCCGTGCCATTTCATTGCTTTCTTCAGCCTCAAACCATTAATTTACTTATAGAGATTGCCATGAATTCTTCATTTACATTTAATTTCTTTCAAATACTGTGCTAATTAATTTGTACAATATATTAATGAAATAAACAACAAAGCGGAATAAAGAAAAAGTGGTTTATTATTCAAAACTCTGAGCATAAATAACTGACTGTGATGGAGGGTTCGAAGAGTCTGCGGATGTAGACTCCTTAGGCATTTCACAATAATGATACGAGGGGTTATTAGAAAAAGAGATATTTATTGTAGAGAATAACTAGATAGAGTGTGGTAGTTAGTCGTAGATCAGCGCATAAGCTGTCATGAAGTAACATGTGCAGAATACTAACACTAACAAGTGTAACTGAATCAATCTGAGGCAGAAATCATTAGTATTACTGAACCAATCTGAGGCAGAAATCATCAGTATTTATAATTTTAGAGAGAGAACATATGAAGAGAAGAGGATTGTAGAATTAGATACATCATATACCATAAACAGGCTATAATAGTAAATGATTGTAGGATATAGCAAAGGCTGTAGGTGCTATAAATACCTAAACATGGCAAGCTATATTTGAGCATAGTTGAAATAGGCTATAGAACTAAATACTCTACATACTACGACACAAACACTTAGTCTATACCACGTAGAGGTATGTATATTCAGAACATAACAAAATATCTGTATTAAAGAACATGTCTAAAAATTACAGTGAAAACTAAATACACTACACCGACATTAGCTAAGAATTTCGTAGACAATATAGATTCAATACGCAAGTCAATGCACAAGGCATGGTGGAAAAAAGTAAACGATAATGCATAATTCTGAAATCCACCTTATACCTACAGTATACACTACATTTCTTCATTAAAATAAGACATTTAATAAAGGCATGTTATGACTTACAGAATGGTCATACTACTGTATCATTGGCAATAAAAAATGAGATAGTCTAACGATGAACTTTGTGATAATCGACAAAGGCTCTTGTTACTTAGAATGAAGTTGTTATTCTAATTTCGAGCTTTCCTGCAGCATATTTTCAATATGATCACAGTATGCCTGCGATAAGAAAAAGCGCGAAGAATTTTGTAGACAACAACCCCATTCGAAAGCTTTCTTTCGATAAAATTCAAACTCTTTGTCCTGAATATTGATTTCAGATGTTTCATCAGGATATTGTCTATGTGCTGCTGCATAAGCTAACAGTAAATCAACTGGGCCTGATGTGGTTATTTCCTTTGTCCAGTCGCTTATGGACGGAAGATTACTAGAATCTCTGCATGTGCTACCTAGCAGAACAATCGCTGGAGATTCTTTTTGTAAAGAAGAAGGACAAACATTCTGATATTTTGACGAAGTCGCTTCAAAGTAGAGATAGATCTCATGTTCCAGCTGATAATTTCTATCTTTGCTCTTTAGCTGAACATGCATAACGATAGGAATACCATAAGACAGTGCCGCTTCCGTGATTACTTTTGTCGTCCAAAAGAACGGTGTGCACTTGAGCTTGCGATGCATTACTACAAAGTCTGCAGAAATCATTTGTTTTATACTCTCTTCCAACTCTAATTGATAGGCTAACTCCTGAACAAATTGCACTGAGTGTTCGGATAGATTCTGTCTTAATCGAGCTACTAGCTTATTAGCAAACGTAGATCCTACACTGCTAATTTCTTTGATTTTTTTGGTATCAGTATACTCGTTTTTAACGATGGGATTTTCTTGTCTAGGAGGCAAGACTATTTTCACCTTTGTAAGCAGGTAAGATTCAATTAGGAAAATTTCATCAAAGTTTAAATTGAGTTCAATATTCTTTTCTTTTAGCAAATTGGATAAAGAAAATCCTTCTTTAATCACTCGCTCAATATCTTGTAGCATGCTTAAGCATTGCAATTTAATTCGATTTATCTTGGATAAAAGGACTTGGTTGTTCACTGACGGATGCTTAAGGAAGACAAGGGCTGTCTGAACTGCTCTAATTTGGCTAGCATTTTCTCCCACAATCGGATCAAACTTATTGATATCACGCTTACTCAGCATTTCCATAACATGTTCTGTAGCTATTACAAGTACTAGATATTCTTTGAGGCCATCGATTAATCTCCTTTCTTTCTTAACATTAGGATCATAAGGAAGTAGTTGACTTAGATGGAAATCCCTTTGGCAATTGGAAAGGGACGGAGGAAATTTCTTCAACATATTTTCTTTTTGAAACGTCACTACCTAGACGAGTGCTAGTGATTTCTTGACTCGAGAGCTGGCTCTAACCCAAAAATGATCATTCATTTAATAAAAGCTCTACGTGAACTTTTCCGCAAAGGCAACTAATCACTTCTTCCTTCCAAAGAAAGTTGACGAGTTCAAAATGCAATACATTCAGTAAGCAGATGCTCAAAATTAATCAAATATATCAGCTCTATAGTAAAGGAGGAACGCCCACAATCTTTCTTGATATTGTGGATGTAACGGCAAAATGGAATCCAATTTAGTACAATGTACAAATGAAACCCTGACGAATGGGATCTAAATAATAAAGCAGAAACATCTGCAATCTTTCTTACGTATGTGGACATATGGCCAATGTAGAATACGCTATAGTAGAATGGAGCAAGAAATTACGACGAATTGGGAACGATTTTAAACAGAAAGCAAATGGCTGTAACGTCATCTAACTTGCGAAAACTTTTAGTGAATATTGACGAATGGATCAGGGCTTCGTACTATCAACTTGAAATAGTGATGCATTTTGATAGAACCTTCCATAAAATGATCGAGTAATACTGTAGACATTGCATAGTTATGTAATAGCTATATATTTACAATTACGTACTTACTTTCATGATCGTACGACATCAATCAAAAAAATCAAAAAAATCATTGAAACTGGTGAAAAATATTGACAAAGCTCGAATATTCGTACATGTATATATAAAAGCAAATATTATTCCATCAGTCATTTATTTGCATGACGCTACAGATTATCAAATTGTCAGGCAGTCTAATATTTACTTTTGTATAACATAATTTCCAATTTTTGCCTTGTTACTATTAAATGATACCTTTCATTGTTTTACCCGTAGAAATAATGTGATAACTCTTCAAAAAATTGATAATGAATTATCGATGACAAAACTACTTCCATATCCAGTTATCATAAACAACATATCTTTACGCCCAATCACAGCAATAATTAGCAATACAAAATAATTCAAACTAACATTAATGAACTTACCAAAAGAATCATTTTTGCTTTTGCATGTAAACTAGAATTAAAGTTAACCGTTCGATCGGCACCGGTATTCTGGTTCACGGTAAGATTAGTATCAAATCCAT